CAATCAGTTATACTCCTAAATTAAAAACTTAGTCAATATTTTTTTGCAATTTAGCAACCCTTTATTGTCCATGGAACAATAAGTCATTTTTAAACAATTCAACTCAGGGATACCATGACTTTGAATCAAAGAAAATTGAACATCTTATATATATTTTTATAGTAATAGTTTTATTTAATAGGTTGCATTTACTTTTGTAAGTTAGTTCTAAATTAACTAATTAATTTTTTATTAGTCGGTTGTAAATCAATTTTGAAATAGTCGGTTTTAAATTTCATTAGTCGATTGTAACTAAAATTTTAAATAATCTATCCTGAACAAAGTTGGTTCCATTAAGGTTGATGTATCATTTATTCTGTCATAATGGTCAAACGCAGATAGTAGTCTGTCCAAGCATGTGACACGTACCTAATCACATGGTCTTTCTTCTATCGGATGAATTAAAAGTATGTCAAAAACTAATACCTAATGATGCATAAAATGATGCATTTGATGCATAAAACTTAGTAAGTGGCATAAAATTGACTTCAAGAATGGTAAGTCGTATTATTAGGTAAGTCGTATTATTAGGTTTCGTATTATTAGGTTGGTCGTATTATTAGGTTAGTCGTATTATTAGGTAAGTTGTATTATTAGGTTTACAAAAAAATAATATAAAGTCCCATTATGCGTATATTCAAATAATATTCAATGTGGTTAAAGTACATTTTATAACATTTATAACATATAAAATTTATGTTACTTGAGATTCTAAGACTTTTTTTTAAATTTGCTAAAAATCATAGTAGCTGTAATAATCAAAGTAAATCATAGTAGCTGTATAAATTTTTTTGAGTTATTTAAATACTTAAATTTTTCTTTTCGAATTAGTCAAACAAATTAAATAAAGGTTAATAATAGGATAAAATGTAAAAATCTATGAACTTAAGCAACAATATTGAGCACTTTTTTATAATGATAGTATCAAAAAAATTATTGATTCGTCAAAGATTCTGGATTATGCACAAAACAATAAAAAAGTTTTAAGAAAAATTCTGGCTCTAAAGACTAAAAAAAAAAACAGCAAAAACTTTTATTTACACTTTGAAGAAGTTTTTCCAGGGCATTACTTTTCTCAACCAGATTTTAATAAAAGTAATGCCTATTATTTAGGTTGGAGTTCTCAAAATGAATTTATCAAAAAGTACAAAGGAATTGTCCATGTTGACATCATTAATGAGGCTCATACGGCCATTTACTATTCCATTCTCGTTAACTGAACAATTCACCATAGTTCTCCTTTTAAAAAGTATATATCCTTATAAAATATATGAAGACCTCAGTGGAAAAATCAGCGTTGTCACATTTTACAAGTTTTAAGAAAATATTTATTGACCATTAATAAAAGTCTTTATATAAAGCAACAAAAAAAGGGAATTTCTCATTAAAATTATATAAATTTTTTTTATAATTAAACTTTAAATAAATTAATCAAAATATTGATTTTTTTTTCTCATCTTTAATTTTCTTTGCTTAATATAAAAACTTTTATTAATGATCAATAAATTCTTTCTCAAAACTTTTTAAATGTGACAACGCCGGTTTTTCCACTGAGGTCTTGATATATGAATAGCTATTATAATAGAGTGTATAAAGAATATATGGTAGCTTGAACGTATTTCAACAATGAACCATATAACGGGACTGGACACAAAACTACGCTAACTTTTCTGTGTAATATTAGTTTATACAATATTACAATGGAAATGTAGGAGTGCAAAAAGCAAAATTAAATTATAAAAAAAAAATTAATAATTTTATTGTAAGCTACTAATTAATGAACAAAAAGCAGCTCACAAACAAGTTGGGAGGGGAGATGGGAGGTATAAATGCAAATTCTTTTCCGACATGAAAGATCGAATAAGTTTTTCCGTCATTTCAAACCAATTGATAAGTCTTTTTTTAATTAAATTGAAATCTAAAGTTTTTTGGATTTCAATTTAATTAAATTTTTTTTGAATTTCAATTTAAAAAATGATTATATATAAGTTTTCATTCAAAAAAAAATAACCTTTACAAGGATATTTTTATCTAACAGAAATTGGTTTAATACAAAAAACAACAATTTTCAAAAATTGCCTTGTTTTAGCTGTAATTGATATAATAAAAATCTATTTAGAAATGCCCCAAAACCCTTAAATATTTATAGAAACTTTATAATTAAAAATAATGTTTTTCAGAAGTATGTATTTAAAAAAACCATGTATTTAAAAGAAATGAATTATATTAAAATTTCAAAAATGAAATTTTTTTTATAAATATTATATTTTAAAAAAGCAACAAACAAAATCAAAAAACGTGCAATTATGCACTTATTTTAATTTTAGTTAAAAAAAGATTTTTTAAAATAAAATTCAAGTTATCAATTTTTTTATAAAATAAAATATTATTTTTTGAAAAATTTATATAATTTTGTCGCTTTAAAGTACCAGGTTGACCAATTTTAAAGAGTTTCTTGGAGCACCTTAACTACTAAAAAGATAAAAAAATGTTCAAGGGTCTAGAGAAACCTTTACAAATATTTTTAAATCTAGTTATACTTTATTATATACATTATACATTTGGATGGTTTAGCGCCAAACCAGCCAATATAACAAAGTTGAAAAAAATTAGTTTATGTTAAAAAATGATTTATGTAGTGTTTCTTTGTAGAAAAAATTTTAAGTTCACTGAAATGCAATTACTTTTAATTTTTTTAGTTAGACTTTTGTTAAAACGTTTTAAACTTTGCGTCTAATTATCTCATTTCAACATATTCTGGTTTGGCGCTAAATCATCCATATAGAGCTCAGGTAAGACATTTTTCAACTATTGTTCTTTTATCAATGCATCTTAATGACCATAGTTTCTGTATATAACTTCTAAACAAAAAAAACTATTTAGTCGAAATAGAGAACTACATTAAGTTCATATAATAATGGCTATACTCTCTAAATAATAAAGGTAGTTTACGCAAAATACTCGTTGTTTCTTTACCTTAAATTTTGAGAAAATAAAAAAAACTTTATATGACGATAGCTAGTATATTCTCAAAAAAAAAAAGACTATTGACGTAAAATGCAAGTTCTTTTAATTTATATGTCTCAACTACAAGTCTATCTTTTTATTCTTTTCTTTTAAACAGTTTTGTTACTGATCAACCGATTATTGGCAAACCTGAGCCAGTTTGCACATAGGCAAAAAGGTGAGTTGCATGCAACGAGGCGAGTGCATGCAACAAGTTTAAACTTGCGCATATTCACACATATAGTTTGCATATGCGTAGGTACGCTTAAGGGCACACATAAGAGAATGTACATCTGTCTCTTGATAGATTTATTTAATTATATCTGTTATATTTTTTATATATTAGCTAATGTTTTTATTTGTTATGTAGTTGTACCAAATGGTTTTCTCTTATTAGTGGTTGATTTTTTTAACTTTAAATAAACTAATTTTGCTTTGTTGTTTTAAAAAAAAAAAAAAAAACATTTTTCAATGTTTATTATAACAGTATATTCTGTTATTTAAGTTTTCATGCCGCGCATTAACTATAGTGAATTATCTATTATTAATTGTGTACGAGCTAAAATGTTATAAAACGCACGTCGATTTTTGTTAGAAATAAATAATTATTTAAAAAAAAAATTATAATTTTAATCCGTTAAAGTAATGCTTAAAACTGAGACAAATAACTGTCTGAGAAAAAACAATTTTATTTTTAAGAAAAACTACTGTTAAGACAAACTGCTATATGTATAAAGAAAAACTTTTATATATCTGAGAGAAACCATTGAAATATGTTTGTGACAAACTAGATGTCTGAGATCTGTCACTGTTATAAGTCTAAAACAAAACAATAGTATTTGTTTAAAACAAATCACTACATAATAAATGATGCAAACCGCTGTTATTTGTCGGAAAATAAGTACTTTACAAAACAAAACACATGCAGTATGTCTGAAAAAAGAAAACTATATTTAAAAAAAATTACTTATGTATGTCTTAGACAACTCCTGCTATGTCTCAGACCAACTCGATCGATAACAACGATCGTATAATTTTGATCGATTACAGATTTAAACACAGAAATTTAAATTTTATTTTTCAATCAGTTCACGAAATGCTTAAAACTGAGACAAATAACTGTTATATGTCTGAGACAAACCAATTAATTTGCACTTTGTATATATTAATAGTAGAATTACATTTTGTGTATAAAAACAAATGTAAAAATGTAAAATAGAAGCAACTGTAACACTATTGTTTTGCTTTCATTTTCAGACTTAAATTGGCAATACACATAATCACAGGTCACAGGATCGTTGATTTTTTAATTTGACTCTTTTATTTTTGAACTAAACTTTTTTCTTTTTCATTTGATAACTCTTAAATGACGTTATACAGAAATCAGTTATCAGAAATCAATTATCTCATATTTGGATGTAATTGGAGTCTAAGAATAAATTTGTTTACTGTTTTACAAAAATTTGTCAACTGTAATATGACAAAAAACTAAAATATATTTTTAATATTTTTTAAATATTATATTGAATATTATTATTTTAAAATTTAATAATTATGAAAACTATTTTTATCAATTTTATCAATTTTATGAACTTGACTTTCGGTTCTATCTAAAATTTTCTAACCTAAATTTTTCTATAACTAACTTGAACCCCTTTAAAATTAAAACCTCTTTTCAAAGAAAATTATGAATCGAATTTTCACAAATCGAATATTTTGTCACAATTTTATCAAATGCTCTACACTATTATGATTTATATATTTATTAAAACATAAATGATCACAAAAGATAAAATAAACATAAAAAAAGCAATACAAGTTTAAAAGCATTTATTGATTCTAGTTTCCAAATAAGGTTTGTTTTTTGTGTGTTTATTTTGTTTAACTTTAATTACATAAGTTGAACAATAAAAACATGGCTAACAAAAAACATTGTATAAAAACTACCGGCTTACCTGGATAAACTTGCTTTCAATGGAAAAAGAATGTTGGTCAGGTCTACAATCTTTTTTCCATACAATCACAGCAGTGCAAATAGAACAAAGGCAAAAGAATACCAGTACACAGTTCATTATTTTTAACTGAAAAACATATTTATATTTTTTTTTTATTGTCTTGTATCATTAGTATTTTCAACATATTTTTTGACAAGCATAAAATAAAAAAAAAATTCTCGCCTAATCTTTAAAACCGTACAGTTCTTGAATAGATTTGAATGTCAAATAACTTATTTGATGACCTCTCCCATAAAATGTAAATAACAAATTGACCGCTCGTTTTTGCACATAAAGGTATTTCTAATAGAATATTTTTTAAATTATCAGAAGCACCAAAGAGGCAACCGCATCTGCATCTGTATGAATACTATTGTTCCATAAAATAATAAGTTTTTACTCGAGAGACATGAGCACAAAAAGATTTAATCTTTTGCAAAATGAACGCATTCTGTTGTAATCCTAAAAAAGTGTTCAACAGTTTTCTTTCCTTTAATAATGAATTTTTCAAGGAAGAATATTTTTTAAGCTAACTTGAATTGAACACAGATGGTTTATAATACATCAATTATGTTTTCATATAATTTATGTTGTTATCAATATTTTTGTAACTTCAATAAAACATAAAACAGAATTATAATTTAAATATATATATATATATATATATATATATATATATATATATATATATATATATATATATATATATATATATATATATATATAATTTTATTAAGACATAATTAATATAACAATAACTTTTTTTTATACTATATATATAAGATATATATTTTAAAAATATTTTAATAAAATAAAAAAAAACTTAACTTCTTAATTTTTTATAACGTGTTTTGTATAACGTATTTGAATTCAAATGTTAGTATCACATTTTATAAAAAATTTTAAAAATCAAAACATTTTTCATTTCAAAAGTTAATTTTAGTTTTTATTAAATTAACGGATTAAATGTTGTGATAAAAGGGAATATAATTTAACAAACTTTTATGTTACAACTTTTATAAAATTAATTTTTTACCATCTGCATAACATTTGCAGAAATTTATAAAAAAGACGTTAAATAACTTAAGTTTTTGATTAAAAAAAAACACGTAAACCGAGTGTTAATATATGTAAGCATGCGTGCTTTTTTTATTTTTTATCAGACATATGTAAAACACTTATACATAAACTTATGTAAAACATAAGAATATCATACAATACCTCAATACATTTTGATTGCTTTTCCTTTTTTATTATCTTTAAAATTAAAATATAACAACATCAAATTTTGTCAATTAAATATTTTAATACTGAAAAATTTGATCACATTTTAAAGTTTAACACGTTTTTCAAAGCAAAGAAACTTTTTTATACTTAAAGTTTCAATGCAAAACATATCTGTGATAAGATATTACAAACTTTTCGTTTGTAAAAAGTTATTTTGAGTTAAATTTCACAGTTATATAAACTTCATATATATCTAAACCCAATATCGTATCCTCCTGATACGTTATTTATAAATTGATACTTTTTATTTGTAATGTATTTGATCTTTATGTTTACGAAACTTATAACGGCCTGAATTTATGACCACTTGTTATTATTATATTTTATGTCAGACGAGCTGCTTAGTCTTATTGTTATTAGAATAAGTATTGTGATAAGTATTGTTGATAAGTATTGTGTTCCTTTGATATATATAACATCATTAGTTTATAGAGTCACTTTCAAGATTTTACACACAATTTTTATACCCAAATTTCATTTGTCATAAAAGCTGTTTTATTATTTGTCATAAAAGCTTTAATTGGCTGCTTATCTTTTTTGTAGTCGTTGATTCTTGATTCGATCATTTCTTTTTTTTTTTATGTTTATTAGAGTTTTTATCATAATTAAATTGCTAAGTTCTCGACCTTTTTTTGTTGTTCAATTTTTAAGAATTTGTTGAACTTGTATTAATAATGAAATGTCCAAACATTTCATTATTTTTGTGGGAACAACTTTGTGTGCCTCCGAGTCTAGCTACAGCCCTATTTTGTTCATGTTTAGGTTGATCGTCTTTAATGAGATTAATGAACGCTTTAAATATAGCAAAATAATTTACCACCTATAGGATTCATGCACTGATGACGGATTGTTGTTGTTAATTATAGAAAGGTTGAGTAGTTATTATTTAAAGAATATTTTTCTACAAACTTGCCAACATTTACAGAAAACTCTTCCTTTCCAAACCAAGATCCATCTTGGCTCTGTTGTCAACAAAATCTAATAACTTCTTAAAGTTTAGGTGGCATTGTTTTCTTTCTACTTTTGCAACTATACTCATTTTCGGGGTATTTTTTATCTGTTGCTATAAGTTTTTACAACTGCATTTTTACAACTGCAACAGCATTTTTGCAGCATATTAGGTTTATTATTAACACTGTTTATTATTAACACTGTTTATATCGCAAACCTTCTCTGATCATTTTTTTACTGATCTTAAGATTTTCTGATCATCAAACACTCTGAAATAAATTTTTATATTATAAAGTAATATAATTCTATTCTAAATTTAGCCATTCTAAAAAGCCTTAATCTACATAAACAAATTTTTTTTTATTCTTTTTGGTTTAAATATCTAGTTTTTGTTTCATTTATGTTATAGATATAACATATTCAACTGATATTAAGACATATTAAATTTACTTGTTGAAAAGAAAGCATCTTAATAGCAGAGCTAATTGAGACGAGTTCTCGAAGTATTACTCATACGCTGAGTAGGCGGAGTCAGGTTTTGAACTTGCAATCCTGCTGCTACACCCAATAATAATTCCAAACATTAGTAGCGCTCAAAAAAACTGAGCTATCCAGGCTCAAGTCAGTGGCTAATTAAAACATCCAACTAAATACAGATGGCAAAGGTTAAGACGGTATAGTTACTGGTGCTGATCTCACCTACGCCGTGGACATGCTCATCTACGCCGTGGATATGCCTGTAAAGAATTGCTACTTGTTTGCACTTGAGTGAAAACTTTCCTCTTTATAGTTTGATCACTGCAAACACAACTTGTTTTTTCTCAACGCATTTAATGGATGTTCTGGAAAATAGAAAATTTTTAATTAAATTTTTTTAGCTCAATTAAAAATTAAAAAAAAATCACACTATTTTTATTTTTTGTCCTTTCGTCTAAAATTCCACAAAGTTAAACTTTTTTTAATTACTCAATTTTAGGTATAAAATTTTGCTTCATATTTGATGTATAATTTTTTGATATAGAATGATATTGGTGCTATAGGAAATAAAGCACGAACTAAAGAGAGCAACATTTTCAAACAAGTTTTACTAATTTAAATACAATAAGCACAAAATTTGACATACAAGTCGTTAGACTTAAAGTTTATTCTCGTAAAAATTATTTAAAAGTCTAAGTTCAAATTTTAAACATTTCAGTGATATGCATCACCTCTATTTTATAATGCTATATTATTATTGAACTTAAACTTTGGTTTATAAATTATTAGAGATTATTGTAAGTATATATAAAATAGCGGGATCCTTTAACTTGCGGTTTTACTAAAGCAGCAGTATTTATAAATTTAATTGAAAAAAAAAAAAAGATCAAACATTAATGATGTTTGATTTTTAATCTTGATTTTTTTTATCTTGATCTAAGACGTAATGATTTTCAGTTATTTGACGTCATCATGTAAAAAAAAATCACGATGTCTTTAGATTATGAATACAAAATCATCATCAATACAAAAAATATATTGAAAAAAATCTTTCATTTCAAATTGATAACAAACAGTTTAAAAAATAGGCCATTTTTCTATTAAACATTTAAAGCACTTAGGGAAAATCAGGTCAAAATTGTTCTAGAAGACAGAGTTTCTTTATTTTTGTGGCTGTAAAGGTGTTTCCAGAAATCCTTACGGTCTTATCACAGTTATCAATGTTCTTCCACCGCGGAAGAACATTTAACTAGGAAGTTCAGGTACCAATGTTGCTTACCTGGCTAGAGCCGGCGTCAAACCTCGGGCCAATTGATTCTGAGCCAAAACTATAACCACTACGCCACGTCACTACATTTATGCGGCATTTTTTTAAACTATAGTTAAAAAATCAATATTTAAACAGAATATTCAAATAGAACATAAAAAATCTATAATTAAACAGTATATAACCCATTTTTATTACTTTTGAGCAAAAATTAAAAAGATAATAATGTCGCATATTTATCTTTTTAACTTTTTGTAAAACATTTATATTTCCTGTGTCATAAATCAATGAACTTTTGCTCTAAAGTAATAAAAATGGGTTTTATTCTGTTTAATTATAGACGAGAACACATAAAACAAATTGAGAAAGAAGCAATAAGTTTATGGCAAAAGAAAATTTTCCAAGTACTAGAGGCACAACTGGATGCTGAAGACGATAAATGCGTAAAATAAAAATAAATTTTTTAGCATCACAAAAAAAGATTGTGAATGGCTCTGCAGTGAGGACAAAAGGATGTACCATTTTCAGATTAAAAAAAGCAAATAAAAATTAAGTACCAGAAAGAACTACATCAAAACCAAAACTGCAAGCAAATTAGTAATATCTTCTAAGTTATCAACCAGCAAAGCAGCAGCCATTTATTAACAGATATCTCAATATGGGATTGACATTCAAACACCTTCACAGTCTGGTATATTCAGATCAACTAATAAAGAAGTTGTTATACTTAAAGAAGAAAAAACACTGTATTTAGAAAGTACTTGTCACTGCACATTGATGGTAATCATATCAAGTGCCACCAGGAATATCAATTGTTAGTGTTGAAGAATAAACAAAGAGAAGTTACAAGCACTAGATTTACCAGACGGAAAATGCAGATATTGTTGTTAAGTTAAGTTAAAAGTTAAATTACACGGAGCGGTAAGCCCATCAACAGCTAGCCGTGCTAGCTCGTGCGAAATTGCACGGAAGATGATGCGCTGTAGTAATTATTAAAGCTGATCGAAGTTTGCTTTGAAGCGATCGACACTGGTAGCACTGACTACTACGTTAGGTAATGCGTTCCATGGGTGAGCGACGCGGTTGTTGAAGGAATTATAGCGAACGAGGCAGTTGTTGTCCATTTCACGATGAAAGCGCTTGCAATGACTGTAGCTAGGTGGGATGTTGGGTGGATCTATATGCCAGCCAATTGAGTCGATACTATTTTCGAATTTATATTTTTGAATGAGGTTGCCGCGTAAACGTCTATTTAATAGAGAGGTGAGACCGAGTTTGATGCATCTTGTCTCATAATCGAAGCGCTTTATTTCGTGCGGTATTTTGGTAACCCGAAGCTGAACACGTTCTATGACATTTATGTCTTTTTCAAGATGCGGGCACCAGGCAGTAACTGCTAACTCGAGATGTGGGCGTATATAAGTGGTGTAAAGTTTTTTCCATATTTTGGTATCTCTGCTTATAAACGTGTTTTTCAATGTCCCGAGGACTTTATTAGCCTTGGCATACATTTTACATAAG